TACTTGAGCTGTGAGATTTTGGTTTTCGGGGAATAACGTCGCAAATTTGAACATACATACAATATATGTGTGTGTTTATCTATTCATTATTATCTATTTTTGCAGGGACTCGGACTACGAATCAAAGGAAGATGAGGAAGATAAGGAAAGTGAAAATAAAAAAAAATAAAAAAAATATTTTAAATTTTTATATTTTGTATTTTTATATTTTATATTAATTAAGTTTTGTTTTTTCATGTTTGTTAAATTTTTTGGTATGTTTTTATATTTTTATATCTTTTTATATTTTTTATGTATTTTTAAATAGTAATAAATTTTATATATTAAAATTAATTAGGTTTTTTTTATTTCAAACTCCTTATAAGTCCCACTTATTAATCCAAGTGTTATGCGATTCATCGAAACCTAACCATTTTACGAAAAGTCTATTCCCACGTTTCCTCAACACCTTCTCCACAAGGTATATGACGGGGTACTTGACTCTGGTAAGTTCCTGTTCGTAAAAGCCGCCTTGGATAGGATGATCCTGGTAGTCTTTGAGTTTGTACGTTACCGGATGGGTATTCTCCACTTGGCTTATCGTAAAAATTTCCGTTGTCCAGTTAGGTGTGTAGCCTTTTTCAAAAATGTGTTTGAATTTGCTTATTCGAACTTTGTCTCCAACTTTCAATTTTGCAAGTCTAAGTGTGGATTTGATTTTGAAATTTTTGTACACTCGATGCAGTAATTTTTTTTTCGTTTCTAGCAGTGACGTCTATCGGTTTCATACAAATTTCCGTTGTCCAGTTAGGTGTATAGCCTTTTTCAAAAATGTGTTTGAATTTGCTTATTCGAACTTTGTCTCCAACTTTCAATTTTGCAAGTCTAAGTGTGGATTTGATTTTGAAATTTTTGTACACTCGATGCAGTAATTTTTTTTTCGTTTCTAGCAGTGACGTCTATCGGTTTCATACCAGTGGTTCGATGATTATTACCATTGTAAGAGGATAGCAGGTCTGATAAGATGTTTAACCAACGATGGTCACTCTGCAGGCTAAATTGTTTCCACATATTATTTTTTAGAGTACGATTGAAACGTTCACAGATCGATGCCTTCAAGTTGCTGAATGTCGAGTACATAGCAATACCATGTTTTTGCATTAGATTCTTGAATTCGGTATTGTAAAATTCACGACCTTCGTCCACTTGCAATTTCTTCGGTATCCGCCCCTGCAACAGTATAGCTTTCATAGCTGTCATCACGTCCTTAGCATTCTTGCTCTTCGTCGGCAGAGCCCAAGCAAGCTTTAAAAATATATCGATGACGGTGAGCAGATACTTGTCTTGTCGACATGTCAACGAGATCCGCTTGCCAAGTCTCATCCAGCCCACGGATGTCAACGTGTCGACGCTGATAATTTCTTCTATCAGGTCTATGCAGTTCTTCGACCACCGCTAACTTTTTTCCATCCATTCTCCAGTGCATTCAATCTGGCGTCTAGCTGAGAAATGATCTCGGAATTGCGAATTGACAAGTCTTGCGCTGTCTTTATATCTGCTTCTAGACGATTCAAGGCATCCTTCACGGTAGAATCGAGAGCGCGAATCATTAGGTTGTTGTTATCGATTTCATTGCGCATTTCAGCAGTCTTACGAAGTACGGTACCAGCTTCCTGCTTTACTACAGTTTTCATGAGATTCAGAGTAACAGCATCGTTTAGCTCCTCGGGATTGGCATCGTTGCACAGCCTCTTGTTATCAATGTTGTAGTGTCCAGCAGCAGTGAATTTGAATCCAACACCAGGAAGACCACGGCTACTCGTAACCGCGGCCTTGCTACTCAACTGACGTCCAAACACGTCAACGCTCATGTCTAAAGTGACGATCACGAACGTTTTATCAAATTAATAAATAATACCAGCCTCACGCAACTCTTCGGTTTAGCTCCTCGGGATTGGCAACGTTGCACAGCCTCTTGTTATCTATGTCGTAGTGTCCAGCAGCAGTGAATTTGAATCCAACACCAGGAAGACCACGGCTACTCGTAACCGCGGCCTTGCTACTCAACTGACGTCCAAACACGTCAACGCTCATGTCTAAAGTGACGATCACGAACGTTTTATCAAATTAATAAATAATACCAGCCTCACGCAACTCTTCGATAATCGATACGATTTCGTTGGAGTGACTGGGATTACCTGCTTCCTGAGACGCAAGGAGCAAACGAAGACGGTCTACTAATTCATTGGGATCGTCCCAGTACACGTAATCCGTTAGTCTGTCCTTAGCAGCGATCATGTACCGTGGTATGATACCTTTGCCCGTTACAGAGGACTGTTCAATTAGTTTTGCAATAACATTTTTAAATTTGAAACTCTTGCTCCTACGAATATCACCATCAGGTTTATAGTACTTTTTATATGCATTCGTTGTTATAATAATGTTTTTGTAATTGTTCAAGTCATCGTAGGTTAAGAGAATAAGAGTTTAATCAAACCGTTAGTTTTCATTCTTTTGCGTTCCCCACACCCCGTAGTTTTTGAGATAGCTGTATTTGCGTGACCCTAGGCCATTTTCGTGGTCCAGCACGTCACAGTGTATAGCCTTTTTCAAAAATGTGTTTGAATTTGCTTATTCGAACTTTGTCTCCAACTTTAAATTTTGCAAGTCTAAGTGTGGATTTGATTTTGAAATTCTTGTACACTCGATGCA